CCCCCCCATGCCCTACCATTCTCCTTACCCAGATCTCAGGGCTGGCAGCGGTTTTCTTATTAGCTCCTACTCCTCTGCATCGCACAGCAGATTGAACTGCAGGAAGAAGCCACTAATAAGTGATTGCTCTGTTTTGTCAAAAGTTCCCTTGCTGATTTCTGTATAAAAAAAATTCCCTGCCATTCTCCTTACCCAGATCTCAGGGCTGCCAGCGGTTTCCTTATTAGCTCCTACTCCTCTGCATCGCACAGATTGAACTGCAGGAAGAAGCCACTAATAAGTGATTGCTCTGTTTTGTCAAAAGTTCCCTTGCTGATTTCTGTAGAGCAGGCTGTCACTAAAGGCAGAGGGGCAAACCAGCCCCCTTTCTTGGTCAGTTGGCAACCTTAGCTGGATCTCCTGCTGCTTTTTAGACCCTGACCTTTTTGCTGTGATGCTCATTCTGAGCCAGTTTGGTGTTGTGGTTAACTGCGCAGACTCTAATCTGGGAGAACCGGGTTTGATTCCCCACTCCTCCACTTGCACCTGCTGGATGACCTTGGGCAAGCCGTAGTTCTGATAAGAGCTGTTCTTGAAAAAGAGCAGTTTCTGTCAGAGCTCTCTCAGCCCCACCTACCTCACAGGGAGTCTGTTGTAGGGAGGGAGTTTGAGACTCCTCTGGGTAGTGAAGGGTGGAGTATAAATCCAGTCTTTTCTTCTGTTTCTTCTGCAACTGCCTGGAAACTTCTTTGCCCCTCCAGCTCTGCCCCCTTTATCAGATTCTTCTCTGGGGCATGAGATAATGGAGAAGTTGTTGTCCGTCCCCCCCACCTCCAGCTGTGGGCTCACTGACCAGAGAACAATCCTGTTCATGGGGCAGAGAAGCTTCTCTATGCAGCTCAGGAAATGGGATGGGGAACGGGGCATGCAAACATTGGGCTTTTTGCAAGAAGGCTGACAACCGATGAGGGGCTGGCTGCTGCTATGCAGGTCATCGTCCAAGGGAGGAGGAGCACCGCGTCCTGCCTTCCCAGTGCACCATGAGGCTGGCTGGCTGGCTACGCAGGCACACAGGAAGGGGGCAGGCGGAAGAAATTGAGCTAGCCCTCAGCCTAAAGAGGGCGGGGGCGAGGGAGAGAGAGATCTCAGCAGAAAGGGCAGGGCAGAGGTATTCCAGGGGAATCTAAACTCTACTGTGACAGCGGTCAGAGCCCCAGCTGACGTTGGGCCACCCAGATTTTGTCCCCCCCTTTTGGTGGCCCTGGGGGGGGGCTCCTTGCACCGGAGGGAGAATGCCATTGCCAGCAAAAAGGTCTTCAAGACCCAGAGCTCTGCCTTGGGCGTGACTTGAATGCCCCACTTTCTTCCCAGTTCTCCCAGGCTTCCTCCAGTCTGTTCTTCATGGTGGTTTTGTCTCTGTGTGATTTGGGCCTTGGCCTCTGCCCAGTCAGCCGCCACTGAAGATGGACAATTCTGGTGGGCCTCAGTCATGGGCACAGTCCCTTTTCCATCCAGCCAGTTTGGTGTAGTAGTAAAGCACGCGGACTCTAATCTGGGAGAACCAGGTTTGATTCCCCACTCCTCCACTTGCACCTGCTGGGTGACCTTGAGCAAGCCGTAGTTCTGACAAGAGCTGTTCTTGAAAAAGAGCAGTTTCTGTCAGAGCTCTCTCAGCCCCACCTACCTCACAGGGTGTCTGTTGTGGGGAGGGGAGGGGAGGGGAAAGGAGTTTGTAAGCCGCTCTGAGACACCTTTGGGGAGTGAAGGGCGGGGTATAAATCCAGTTTCCTCTTCCTGCCGTGGGGTGAGGTGGGGGGGCTTACTTCGCAGGCCTGTCTTCTAAGTGGTTGCTGGGATAAATACTGCCAGTTTGGAAGACCGTTGTAACTAGCTCTCTCCTGGCCAGGGAAGACATAACGTATCGGCTACCAGAACTTGACCAGCGGGCCTCTGATGAGGAGAACCTTGACTTGGAGACCTCGGCCAGCACCGAAAGCCTGCTAGAAGAGCGGGGTGGTCACGTGGAACATGCTGCTCAATATTAAGGTACCAGCCCCCCCCCCCCCCTTCCCTCCACTTGGCCATAAGGTGCCGGCAGTCTTTGAGGGGAGATCTCTTCTGTGACCTCCAGTGACGTCCACAGCCAATCTCAGACTGCAGAGCTTGACAGAACCTCCCAGCGTGACTCTGCCTTTTATAGCCGAGCTGGCAGGAGGAAAGTGATGAAA